CACAAGGCCGGGTTCGAATGCGGGTTTTCCGATGTTTTTGGTTTTTTCTTTTTTTTCTCTTTTTTTATTGATTGATTGATTGGTAGGGGGGAGTGGGGAAGTCGGGATTGGGGTAGGGGGAGTGGGGAATTCGGGATAGGGTGGCGTAATCAATGAAAAAAAAAAAAAAAAAAAAAAAAAAAAATCACAAGGCGTGAGGATCTGCCAAGGCTTGAAAAATCCTGCTCTGCAATTGGTCAGGCTCAATCCAGGTAACGCTTTCCTGTCGCAAGAGAGCAGTTGTTCTCGCCTTCTTCTTCGAAAGATTTTGCTCCGATCTCACCAGTCGCGCGTATCTGGCCTTTCTTTCATCCTCGCCCCTCGTTTTTGCGAGCTTTACTTCTTCCACAATCTGCGCTGCTCTTTGTACCGATCGCTCACTCTTGGCGCGCAAAACTTCTTCCCTGTGTACCATCTGCCTCTCCCTCTTCTCCTTAATCTTCCTCTCCACATCCCTGTTCCTTGCGGCGACCTCTTCCGCAAAAACCTTCCGCAGGTCCGACACCTTCGACTTGTACTGCTTCATCTGGACAAGGAAAAAGAACGGATATAAATTACAATCATATAAATATAAAATTATAAATTAATTTGCTCAAGGTTTTATTGAAAAACATTAAGAAATAAATTCAAATAATTAAAAAATAAAAAAAATCGAAATCAATTATCAAAATCAACAGCGATGGAAAATCTGACTATTTCCTCTCGTACTCCATCTTCAAGATGAGAAAGAATTCAAAGAATGGAGAAAACTCTCCGTAGCATCGTGTTCGCGTTTGGTGGCCGAACCCAAACGTTCGCAATCGAACGCGAACAAGCGCCAAAACCCTCCGAACGCGAACAAGCGCCAAAACCCTCCGAACGCAAACATAAAAAGTATTCAAAACAAAAAAAAAAAAAAGTTCTTCAAAAAATTTGAAAAAACTATATGTTATGTAAAAAAACTGTGCCTGTCTCTTATACACATCTAGATGTGTATAAGAGACAGGGCTTAGCTAGGTCTCCCTTGTATACTGGGGTACCAGACTCCCCGCAGTGTCTTCAGTGGCCCGGTCTGATGTGCAAGAAGGGCGGGGAGGCGGGTTCTGCACCCAGGGGGCGACTGGGGCAGACTGCCAGTTCCTCCCA